ATTTATAAGTGTTTTTATAACTATTTTTTATGTCTATTACGGTACCATTTAGTATATTTTGAAATGAAAACAAATAGATTTTTTTTTAAATTAGGGGTTGTCTCGACTGCCCAATGTGGCACTATAGGCCCAATCGGGTTTAGGGTGCTACAATAATTTTTGAAAATTGAAAAAGCAAGCTATTTATTTGATGTTCAATGAATTAATAATTTGTTTCAATTGTGACCCTGAAGTAAGGGCATCATTTCACTTTACAAATTTCTTCATCTTAAAAAAAGAATGAGAAGAAAATTTTCAAACAGGACAATTTCTCAAGAATAAAAAGAATTCCTTCAAACCAATACGACCCATTCTACCTAAAAAAATCTTGAGAAGTGGAGTAAGATGCAAAAGTCAGAGCAAGAAGAAGAATCGAGATGGAAGCCATGGAAACATTTTCGATTTTAAAAGCTTGAAAGATCAAAAGACCTGAGAACAAAAAACTTCTCACAAATCTTTGTGACATCCTGATAGATCCTATAGTAAATTATCGCCTCCACAAGAAACGTGGCTTGGTTTGGGATACTCGTAACGAGAATCCAAAGAAATCTTGAATCATATATATATATCACCTATTGTTATCAGAACAAATATGATTAGAAAGAAGACATCTGTAATATCCCAAATATAGGGCTAGTGACTAAAATGTAAATTTTGGAAACTTTGTGCTCAATTTCAGAAAAGATAAAAAGTTCAAGGAATAAATTGGGAAATATTTTTATAAAGGATTTAATAGTAAAGTTTGAAAGTAATAAGGGTATTATGGCCATTTGATAAGAATTATTTTTATTTTTCCCTTTATAAAGGAAAATCACGTGGAAAATGGGAGATATGAAAAGATAAGTTTGGAATATTGCTTCTTCTTCCTCCTCTTCACCGTGAACCAAGGTTGCAAAGGTGAGTTCCTTGTTAGTTGTTTATTTGTTAAATTTAAGGTTGTTTTATGATCCTTGGGTAATACTTAAGCTTAAGGAAAGCTTAAGTTGTCTTAAAATCAAAGGATGAAGAAGTTATGAAAGATTTAAGAGAAGGAGTTTCTAAATGAATTTCTGAAAAAAGAAGTAATAAATGAAATATGAGATGAAATTTGACTTGTCATCAATAAGAATAAGAGATTTATGAAGTTAGAAAGGATTTATAACGAAGTTGAAAGTTTGGTAAGATTCATAATTTTAAGATTCATGATGAGATATGGAAGATAATGATGGTTTATATGGATATAAGTTGATTTGAGTAAGGGTAGTTTAGTTTAATGGCATAATATGGGCTTAAAATGGAAAGTTTAGATTAGTATTGGTTAATTTTCGGGCTTAAAAAGGAAATCTGGGCAAAGGGGTATCGATACTCCTTCAACAGGTACCGATACCTCAAGAATAAAAATTCAGGAAGATATTCAGAGTGTATCGATACATAGGCAGTGTATCGATACCCCCCTTAAAACGAAAATTTCAAATGTAATTTATGTACCGATATATAGGCAGTGTATCGATACACCACTGAAGGGATGTACTGATACCCTATAGTGTGTACCAATACATTTCAAAAGGAAAATGGAAATAGGTCTTTCTTTTAGTTTAAGAAATGAAAATTAGAGTATGCCAAGTGGAATGTTGATATGTATATTATATGTATGATTGTGTAGACATTGATCGAGAGAAACGTCCGGACAAGTTTACAATTGATAGTCATCAAGAAGAGAGAAGAAATCAATATTGACTAGTGACGTCAGGTGAGTGCATATTTAATAGTATATGTTGGTTAATGGAAATAAGACTTGCGACAAGTCTATTTCCTATAGTGTTACACATGAATTTATGAACAGAAATATGTGTTTAATATGAGTGTATGTATGCTTGATTATATGAATTGATTTATTATTGTATGTGTTATGTGATTCATGTAAAAACAGTATTAAGTGATAATAGGAGAATATAAAATAAGTTAAGAAATTATATGAGTATAAAAGATAAGTTATATGATAAGATCTACGGGATATATGGAAATAAAATATAAGACTATACGAATACATGATATAAGATAAATTAGGTAATAATATGAGAATATGATAAAAGTGAGTTTATGAGAAATGATATGAGCTTAGTAAGCAAATGTAAATGTTATATAAACAATAGGAACGTGAGTTTGGCAAGTACATAGTGGTATGATCATTTATGTGAAATAGTAAAATAGAATTATATTATTATATGAGAAGTGAAATAAGCTAAATACTATGGACCTATAGGATGAGATGAGGATAGTACATTAACTAGTAGGCTTGAACATAAGTGATAATATGAACATATAAGATAAGCTATATGGGAAAGATTTATATGCTTAAATAAAATTATGACACATGGGTTGTATGATAGAGATCTATGAGCCATATGAGAAGATTATAGGAATTATATGAATTTGAATTAAGTGAATAGATTTAATTGTATATAAAAGAAATAATAGAAGTGATATATATATATATAAGTATGAAATAGGTTACATGATCTAGATGAATATAAAAGAATAAAGCATAAGCTATATGACATGCTATAAGTTATTATATACATATATGAAATATGTTATTAAGCCATGGGACTAGTAATATGAAATGACTTGGAAGGTTAATATGAGTTATATGAATACATATTTATTTGATGAAATGGTGGACTACCTGAACATGTGAATATATGTCTATGAGAAGACATAAGAATAATATATAAGAAATGTACAAGAAATGTGAAATGACATGAAAGTTGATATAAACTATGTAAAGTGATCTACGTGTCTATTTGTATATGTGATCCAAGATATATGACATAAGCTACGTGAAATGTGAAAGTAAATTATGTGTTTATGTGAATATGTGAAATGATATAAATGTAAAAGCCCATGTTATGTAAATGAGAGCTATAGGTATAATTGACATGCCAAGAGTCGAGGGTCTACGTGGTCCTTCGGGACATATATGTATATTTTGGAACATTTATGAGGTCCTTTGAGACACATACTTTGTCCTTGGCATATGTATATGATTCTTAAGGAATTTCTATTTGGTCCTTATGGACATCTTATATAGCACTTAGGTGCATTTCTACGCGGCACTTAGGTGCATTTCTACGCGGCACTTCGGTACAATTCTATGTGGCACTTTGGTGCATTTATACGAGTTGTGGTGACAACATAGTGCACAACCTCACAAATACTCATATACATTAGGTTCTTAGTATTGTATCATGTGCTAGTGAACTTATTAATACGAATTCATGATTTACAATTTGATAAGCTTATGTGTGACATGTATAGTAATGTAAATTGTATTTAATAATTATATGATGTATATGTTGTTAGGATATGAAAGATATTAGGTGAATCATATGAAGTTGTGTCTGTATTATGTGAATGAATCATATGACGATTAAGAATGTTAAGTACAAGAATATATGACTAAGAAATATGAATTAATATAATAAAGATAAGAAAATGAGGTTAATGATGATACTGACAAAATATGTTCATGTATACAATTGATTTTATATTGATGTGATACTATTTTGTGTGATAAAATTGATATGAAATTTCATGCATTGTTAATTAGATAAAATTTCGTTATAATTTTATTATGCCTCACTAAGTCATAAACTTAGCGTGTGAATATCTCACATGTAGGTTCGTGTGCCAGAAGAGGAGCATGGATAGACAAAGCAGGTCAATTACTCTTTTCTAAAGATCAGATCAAAAAAAGCATACTTAGAATAATGTCTTTTGTTATATCAATTGTAGTTGGCATATACTAAAAGATTTGAATTAGATCCGCTCTGATAAGTTTTGTAAATGCTTTGATATAAATTTATAAAGTATGCAATTTGATTTAATAAAAGTCGACATTTTCATTCTTTGTGAAAGTAATTGTTTGAAAAGTCAAGATAACATCTCGGACTCGTATCCGAGTCGGATACAGGTTGGAGATGTTACAACATTATTTGCACTTAAAGCAGGCAATGATGTTCAAAAAAACGTTGCAAAGACTCAAGGTTAATAAGATCTTATGAGAAGAAGCTTGTTATCATTGAACTATCAAATCCAAGAGAAATAAATAAAGTAGGGGTGCATTCGGTTCGAGCTTTTATTAAAAATTGAACCGAACCGCTAAACGATTTTTTAAATTTAAAACCAAAATTGAATGGTATAAAACCTGAAATATATAAAACCGAACAGTTCAGTAAAGCGATTTTTGAAAAACCGAAAATTGTTAGACATGCTTAAAAAAAAATCATGGGCTCATTGGGCTGCTTTGATTAGTTAATGCAAAATTTACCTTTTCCCTGATATGAGATATTCAAATCAAAATATTAAACACATGTAAAATTCATACATCATCATTACTAAAATATCTAATAAAAATATCATGTAAAATATACAATCAAGATAATTTATAATCCACATAAAAAAAATATCCAAGACAAATCCATCTATATAATCTAAGTCAAACAAAAAAGTATTTGAAATAAAAAAAAAACAGAACCATATTGTTGGGTTCTCACTACAAATTGAACAACCAAATCAAACTGTAATTCTGTTATCCAAGTCAAATAAACAGTTACTTAAAACTATCAAACAAAAAGAATTCTTCTCCAACAGTAGGCATCATGAATACACCCTAAAAAACAAAATTAAATTCAAACAAAAAGAATTCTTTTCTAACAATAGGCATCATGAATACATACACCCTACAAAAAAACAAAATTAAATTCTTAATAGTAGAGAATAATCGTACAAATCATCAAATAGTCAAATACAACATATTCAATTATAATATTTGAAAACACATATTCAATTATAAGTTAAATGTAACACTAGAGAATAAATAAATTAATTTTCTTTAATTTTAAAATGATCATATCATTTTTTAGTAGCAGTACAACTCATCAAATATTATAGTTAAAAAACATTTTTCTATAATAAAATAACTACTAATTTCTTACTTACCTTGCGAGTGTTTCATCTTCCATCAATCATCAATAGTCATCATTGTTTCATTTAGCTTTAGATCTTCAAAACCTATTAATAATAAAAAAACATTTAGAAGTAAGAATGTTTACAAAAATGAGAAAACATATTTACAAGATTTATATAATTATCACTTACCACTCTCAATGTTCTCCATTTCTTCAATTTATTCTTCTTTTTGGATTGCTACAGGTGATGATCTCAGCCAATTTTGTGTACAAATGAGACACTCAACAATTTTGGAGTTAACGAACTCCGAAATGGGTCGAGAACACGACCTTCAGTGCTGAAAGCAGATTTGGAAGCCACTGTAGACCCAAGAATTGCCAAAATATCTCGAGCCATTAAAGACACTTTCAAATTTAGATTTTCCTTATCATCGGATTCTACTTTGTTCGCTAAATACTTTTCAAGTTTAGATTTTCCTTCACTAAACACATTTTCAGCCCTCTTCCTTTTATATTTGGTCTTGGAATAAGAAAATAAATCAAGCTGCTCATCATTCTGAAACCTAGAGAGATTAGATTGAAAACTTACATTTGGTTCACCTTGGGATAAACCACTCAATAAACTATAATGATCAAACAACTCATTTAAAGTTTGTTTTTATAATTTCATTCAACTGCTCAGCTTTTTTAGCATCATAAAAGCTTCTTCAACCACAAAGATTACATAATCCATCTTATGTCTAGGATCTAAAATCATAGAAATGAATAAGAGTGGATTAAGATTTTTCACATTTCCCCAATACTTGTGATATTTTTCCCTCATATTTGAAGCCATAAGCTTTATACTTAAGTTTGGATCATTTAGCTTGTCATTAATTCTCATTCCAAAACCAAACACAACATGAAAATAAAAATTACTAGTAACATATAAAGCATGCGCATGCTTCCAATCTTATTTTGTAGGTAGACCCTTCATTCTTGAACTTGAAAGCTCATCTCTATACTTAAAATCTTGCTCCCCAACCTATCAAAAAATGTTTCAAACTTCAAGGCAATATTCAACATTAAAAAATTTAAGTTCCATCTAGTTTCAACATCCAAGCAAACTAAGTCCTTGCTCTCAATTTTTTTGCTCAACGCACAATTTAAACATTTGCATCCTAGCTGGTGATGACCTAACATATCTAACAGCAAAACGAATTCTAAAAATCGAGTCATCCAAATCTTTCAAACCTTCTTTAACAATCAGATTTTATATGTATGCACAACACCTCATGTGAAGGTAATCACTCCCTAAAATGCTTTGTTTCCAATTGTTTAGTCTTTTTTATGTACTTGATTGCAGCATCATTGGAGCTAACATTATCAACTGTAATTGTGAGAACCCTATCTATTCCCCACTCAAGCAAGTTTTTTTTCAATGAATTTCCTTATCACATCACCCGAATGACTAGGAATGAGAGTAAAATTTAAGATTCGATTATGCAATTTCCATTCATCATCAACAAAATGAACCGAGAGACACAAGTAACTAAGGTTTTGCCTAGAAGTCATATATCAGTCGTGAGAGAAACCCTTTGATTGAAATTCTTAAAATACTTGAGAAGTTTATCTTTTTCTTCCAATTAAATTTCCATGCAATCTTTTGTTATAGTGTACCTAGAGGGAACTTGAAATCTAGGCTACATCATATTGCAAAACTCATGAAATCTTTCATCCTCAACAATTCTAAAAGGCAATTCATCCATGATAATTATTCTAGCACAATATTTTCTACATAGTGTTTGATCAAGTTTCCAAATAACTGAACCTGAACTTTTCTGCCCATCACCCTCTGATTTAAAACATAAATTCTGTTGTTTTTCATCTACCTTGTTAAACGGGTACTTAGGACAACATTTCATATGATTATTCAAACCACTAGTTCCACTTTTAGTTGGATATTTAAGGGTTTTTCCACAATAATTAGAGCTACACTGTGGAATATCTCCAACTACACATGGTAATTTTGTAAAATGTTCCCAAACTATAGAACTAATGGAACCCAACCTACCTCCTGTATTTTTGGAGGCTGTTGAAGACTCGATGGAATACTTGAAGAAGCTGCAGTTGATTAATCAGTTTTTACAGCTTCATTTGAATTATTTGGATGATCAGTAGGAGTTTCGGTAGCACCGAAAAGCATAGGAGAAACACTAGATGATGTAGATTTCATTTTCTGAAGAAAAAAAAACAGCTTAAAATTCAAGAGTCAAAACAGAAATCAACACTGTTTTGATGCAAATAATTATTCTAAGTGTAAGTGTGAAAATTGTTTATATATATATATATATATATATATATATATATATATATAATATTGCAAAAAGAAAGTAGATAAAATATACCAACCCAGTGATGCAGTGATTGTTGAAATTTTAAGGGCACTTTTTCAACTTTTAACCACAATAAAAATATGAACTTTAAGTGAAAAAAAATGAGAGATAAAACATTAAAGAGACAGGAAAAAGCAAAAGATAGTTCTTAACACACAAAAAATACTCTGAAAATGTTTAGCTCATTACTTTTCTCTATCTTTTTTTTTTCCTTTCAATTAAAAGACTGCCCATACTCACTCATGAAATTTTGCATGGACCATGATCATTTCATCTCAGATTAACCCATACTTAAGAAAGTTTATTAGATGACTACATTAACGCAAGAAAATTTATTAGTTTATGATAAGGCTTAACTGATAAAAACTTTATTTAAAGACGAAATTTATTAGTCAAGTAATTTATTTGATGAACTTTTTAAGACATAATAATCTACTGTTCTAGCTTAATATTTTCAATGCGTTCACTGTGTGGTTGAATGAAGAAATTAAATAGTGTTTTATAATTGTTGCTTTCATGTCCAGGAGAGAAGCTTAACATGCCATTTTCACCATTCATCAACAGACCCAAGCATTAAGTTGAATGATAACAAGTTATATTTTGGGTCACTCGTATTTGGATGAAAACAAAAACATTAAAAAGAAACTGAAAAAGAGGAGAGTTTTCCTTGACAATTTGCATTTCTCATAAAAATAATTGTTTTCAATCAAGTGTATGTTAAGAAATTGTTAAGAATTAAAGAAACAAGTAAAATTAATAAATGAATCATGTATCCAAATCACCCAAAAATAAGTCATAAAAAGAAACAACACATATTCAGAATTCAGGTAACAAACCAGAAAGGATTAAAGTTCAACAAAAATCCAAAGCTATAAAGTAAAAACAAGAAAATAACCAAAAACAAAAACTTAAACCTGTAAACACAAATAATATGGAAATAAAAATAACTCACTGATGTCAGTACTTTCGATCAACGATGGAGTCATAAAAGCAGCAAAGTTTCCTTTCAAGGCCGTAGTGCCACAGAATACTAAAGCTCTATTAAAAAAGCACAAATGAAAATGGTGGACCACTGGACTGGAGAACGGCTGAAGTGAAGCGTAAATTTGATTTGAAGAAAATAACTAATTGAGATTTAGGGTTTGCTTTATTTTCACTTTTTCTTATAATATATTAGACTAATTAAATGAATGGGTTGCATAAATCGTTTAACCCTCATACAACTTCAAGCCTTTAGCCCTTATTTTCTTTAAAATTATTTTGGATTTTTATTGGATCCAATTTGGAAGAAATGTGTTCCATATGGAAAACCCGAACTGAATCGATTAAGATAATTGAGTGATTAAATCAACCTGAAAACAGAACCGCAAAAGAGAAACATGAATCGAACCGAACTGTTTTGCTCAGTTTGTGTCATTTTTTTTCTTGGTTTTGTTGATAAACCCTAAAATAAGACATTCGACGAAACTTTGATCGAACCAAGTGGAGGAAACAGGTATTGGACATTCAAATGATGACGAGCTATGAAAATTCACAATGGGACAATAAAGACCCGGAACAACTATTCTGAAAACGTAATTGAGCATGATAAAAGAGGCATCAAGACCTTCTACTTGACTTCGAACAAGAATCCAAGGTTACAATATGGATACTGGGGAATTTCTCTAAATGATAGGTCTCCTCTTTGAAGATTGAAGAAAATTGATGATAGACACTTCTATATACATGAAAACTCTATCTGCATAAAACAAGTGGAAAAACATTATATCCAAATAATTTATTTAAAAAAATGAAAGATTAATTTTAAAACATCTTTCAAAATATTTTTAAAAAGAAAAGAGAGGTTAATTTTCTAAGATCTATCAAATCATTTTTCAAAGGGGAACAGAAAATAATTTAAGAAGATTTATCAAAACATTTTCCAAAAGAAAGTAGAAATTAATTTTAAGAGGGTTTATCTCTTGTCTTTCGAGTATGATTCAAATACTTTTGGGCCATACAGGAGCCGTTCGAATAGGATGTTAAGTCCTTTTAGTTATCTATAAGACCTTCGGGCATGATGAAAAGATAACTAAATCTCCTCAATACGAAGGAGCAATGTTGTCATTTTATTTGGCGTCCTTCATATGAAGGAGAAAATCACCCTCTGATTATGACTCAGAGTCCCCATTTTAAGGGAGCAATATCATTTTCAGGTTTGATTGATTTTAGACAAATGAATGAACATGTCTTGGCATCAAGGAAACAAGACTGTATTCAGACTCTATCCTCAAAAAAGCAAAGTTTATTTAGATTTGACATCTTTCTGAGTAAAGGAGCAAACCATTAAAATATGATTAGACATTCTCAACGTGAAGGACAAATGTTGTTTTCAGATTTGATGATGTCCTCAAAGGAAACAATCAAATCATTGTGGAAAAATAAATCCTTAGATATACTAACCAATGGTTATGTTGACTTTTGTATATTCAACTATTTTGGGATCAAGATGAACCAGGCAATGATTCTCAATCCCATCTATTTGAAGATGTAGAAAATGTAGACAAACCTTCGAATTGGACTTAAAAATGTCTAATCATTCTTGAAGATGTTTCTTACCCAATAGATTATTTCCAAAATTAGTAAGTCCTTATGGCTATCAGTAAGTTTTTCGAGTATGATGATTGAATCCTTCGGGAAAGATGTTTTCATACGATTTTTGAAAAAAATGGAAAATGATTTTCAAAGTTTCTCATTTAATTTTTTTACTCAAAAACAAAATTTTATCTCACTTAAGATTATTTTTCTTAAAAACAATTTTCCTCTCGCATGAGGTTGTTTCCTTGAAATAAAATTTCATATCTCTCGAGATAGTTTCCTCGAAACTCAAATTTCAGGATCATTTTGCTCAAAACAAAAATTTTATGTCACATGAGATTGTTTTTCCAAAACAAAAGTTTTATCTCACATGAGATTATTTCTCTTGAAACAAATATTTTTCCTCATTCATGACAATTTTTCGGAGTTTTTATTAAAATCACTTTCTTTGAAATATTAATTTCATCTCCCTTAAGATAAAAATATAATTTTCAGTCTCACATGAGACAACATCATTTCTAAGAAAAGAATAATAAATAATTAATTTTAGAAATAAATATTCAGACATGTTGATGTCGATTGTTTCTTTTGAAGGATCATCATTTATGATAGTGGGGCAAACCAAGTGAGAAGATTTTCAGATGCATAGGGGCAGATTATTCGATTGAAAGACGGGGAAACAAATCAAGATCGAGGAAGAGTATTGATGTTAGAATGGAGTTGCTATTGAACTAGACAAAATTAGGCCATTATATGTATTTGTTATGTTCTTGTTTCCACGACAACACGCAGACAAGGGTAACTGTAATACCCTAATTTTTTTGAATAATTTAAATTGAGTTAAAGACGATTGAAGACTAACAAGTTGCTCATGTGTTGTTATGGAAATGGTGACATGATTGAAAGATAACTCGTGGAATTTTATAGACTTTGAGAAATTTCAGTTATTAATTGTGATTTTCAGACATCCACTTAATTAGATTTGTTTTCTATGTGTTCTCATCATGAGGTTTACATCCTGAATTAATTAATTTTTTTTAAAATAAAAAAATAACAAACCATTAACCAAGCCCAAATGAAATTCATATAACTAGTCCAAATGTCCATTTACTTCTTTTTTTAAAGCCAAATCCCAAAACCCATTAGCAAAAAACACCAAACCCAGACTAAAATATCGAAAACCCAAAACATAAATACATATTTTACATTTATAAAACCATAGGGTTTGTGTAGCTCCAGTCACCAATGCTCTTTCACCCATTCAATTTCCATGCATGAATTATGAAAATTAATTAATAGTCCACAATACTCAATGTGCATGCAACATTAACACCATCAAAACAATCAGAAGAGATCTGGGTTATCCATTGGTTTCTAGATCTGATGGTTCAAAACATTCGAAGACATTTGGGATGCTCGTGACTGATCAATGACACAAGAGGATTCACTCGACCATGGTTGTAACACCCCAAATTACGGGTTAGTAGTTTTTGGGTTTACCCGAGAGGTAAGTGGACTTTGTGAAATTTATAAATTTAGTTGTTGGGCTTAATTGGGTTGGATTTAGGGCCCAAATAGTCACAAAAGTGGATTTTTAATTAAGGGAGAAAATATGAAGGACCTAATCTGTAATTAGACTATTTTTGGTTTTGAAATATATTGTTGAGGGTTTTCAAGAGGTTTCAGTCATGGCTTTCCTTCCCACTTCTCTTTTCTTCATTCTTCTTCTTCATTTCTTCTTCCTTCAAGTGACTATAGCTTAAAGGTAAGATCTTGAACCTTTTTCTTGCTTCATCTCGTCCTAATAAACCCCTAGCAACCTTATTTTTTTAGAAGATTCAAGCTTTGGGTTCTGTTTGCATAAAAAGAGGGTTTTCTTCATCCAAGCCTTGAGGAGGTTGATTTCTAGCTAAAGGATGTTCATTTCAGGATTCAAGCATCAATGTATTGTATTCTAATCCTTCAAAGTATTAAGGTTTAATAAATCCATGGTTTTTTTTATTAAGAATTGATGATATCCTTTTCAAATGATCGATCCCTCGGGAGAAAGTATTGATCTCTTTTCAAAAGATCGACCCCTCGAAAGTCAAGTGACTATAGCTTAAAGGTAAGATCTTGAACCTTTTTCTTGCTTCATCTCGTCCTAATAAACCCCTAGCAACCTTATTTTTTTAGAAGATTCAAGCTTTGGGTTCTGTTTGCATAAAAAGAGGGGTTTTCTTCATCCAAGCCTTGAGGAGGTTGATTTCTAGCTAAAGGATGTTCATTTCAGGATTCAAGCATCAATGTATTGTATTTCTAATCCTTCAAAGTATTAAGGTTTAATAAATCCATGGTTTTTTTTATTAAGAATTGATGATATATCCTTTTCAAAATGATCGATCCCTCGGGAGAAAGTATTGATCTCTTTTCAAAAGATCGACCCCTCGAAAGGAATGTCAAACCCTTCTTTGTTTTACTCTATGAAAAGTATGGATTTGAATTCATTAAAGGTCCTAAGTGTTGTTGAATGTTCTTTTGACCCATTTAAGGTCCGTAAGATCTAAGGACGATCCATAATAGTAAAACTTATTCCATGAGAGACATAAATGATCCAACATACCTAAAAACACTCGTAGGATTAGGTTACACTGGGTTTAACCATATTAAGCGTAATACATTAGAGTATCTTCAATCGAGGATGTATACAGATAGTTGGGATTGAGGATCAATACATGAGATACCCGATTGGTGGTACGATAAACATGTCAGATTCATTATCGATAAAGAGCGTGGTGTTTCGAGAACATCGGTAAACCAAAAATTGACAAGTTGTTCCACTACTTTAAGGGGTATTGGGACAGTACGATAATAGTGTTAGGAGTAATGTTACCCAATAATGAGCCCTAGTCAGATATCGGGCTAACCAGTGGATTAGTTAGTGTACTGTAAACACCATAATCATCGGGAAATTGTGAAACGCTTAGAGACCTCTCCGGAGGTAGAAATGAGTAAAATACCTTATAAGTAGTAATACCTCTCCCATAACATCCTAGGTGAGAAGACGAGTGGGATAGTCTCGGGTGAAGGGGATATAACCTCACCTGACTTTGACAAGTTTAGTAGCAAGTGATAGAGCTATTTCTCCTGCTGCAATGTGACATCAGTTAACTTGTGTTAAGGCCTATCTCTAGATGATAACCTTATAATAATAATGAGATAATAACATTAATTGTGTGATAACCATAAAAGACTTATGAGGTAAGATTTCATGAGACTTATGCACTTGTGTTTCGCTCAAGAAACGATAAGGACACTCGAGTAACTTTAGCAGTCGGATAATCATTTTGAGTGCATATGATATTCGGATATATCCAAGTCAATGGAAGATGCACTTTAGTCGCTAGTTGAACTTGGTATTGATACTATGTGACCCAAACACGTTCTGAGTACTCAAGAGGAGTAGACTAGCCAGGCAAGGTGTCGATGTTTGTGTGACCTGGACCTATCTTAAGGTATTGGAAGGTGCCGATGTTATGTAACCTAAACCTCACCTGAGATACTTAGGAGGT